CGGAGGCAGGAGGTGAGAGGACGCCCGTGATGTTCTAGGGAGCGCCTTAACTCCTAGCACCGAGACGCGAACCTGAGCGTCTCTGATCCCGTCTGCGCTGCATGGGCATCCCCACGGTGCGGCCCAATGCCCTGCCCCAGCATGCACTGGGCTCAGGGCAAGATCCGGGACCGATTCTCCAGGGGACAGCCTCTGTCCTGGTGATCCGAAGTCCTGGTCAGGCTAGAGGGGGCTGTTCCCCAGAGATTACAACAGTGTCTGTCTCCTAGATCTCCAGACGCAGCGAGCCTGGTTCTCAATCAGAATCACACCCCTCTGGCGGCGTACGGGGGCTGCAAAGCAGGTGACGCCTTGAGACTCCCCTCTGCACTGGGGGTCTGCCCCGCTTGTGTGGCGCTTGTGCAAAGGCCCTGCACCCAGCGCCTGGCACAGGAGGCAGATCAGCGCTGCGGCACTGTGGCTCTGCTTCGCTCCCTGGCGTTGGAGCAGCTCTGAGGCAGAGCTTGCCCCAAGTGCAGGGACGGCGTAGCTAGGAACCGGGAGCCCAACGTCCCCTGAGCCATCCAGCTCTCCCCCTCCCCCCCGCCAGCTCACGCTTTGCACCAACTGAGGCTAAACCAACCTCTGCAACCACTGCTCCCAGAGCGCTCGGCCCGGCACCGGGGTCGCTGAGCGCAGAATAGCACTGCTAAGCAGAACGCCGGGGCGCGTATGGGAACTATTCAGAGCTGGCGCGGGCAGTCTGCTCTGGAGGGTGTCTCAGAGTCCGCGCGTGGCTCTGCTCAGCGTCTCGACGTCAGACGGTCTGAGGCTGTTTTGAGTCACATCCGGAGCTGGGGGGCGGTATCTTTGCAGCCCCGTTGGTTCAGGGGCTAGTTCTCAGCCTTTGGCATGGTTTCTATGCTCAGGAGAGGCCCCAGGGCTGGAAGAGCAGGGAGGGATGCGGGCCAGAATTGAGGGGCATCGGCAGAGTTGTAGGGGGGGAGCCCAAGACTGGAAGAGCAGGGTGAGGGTTGAGAGTCACAATGGAGGGACACGTAGATGCAGACTACGGTGATGGAAGGGGTTTTCCTGCCTCCCCGAGCGATGGTAGCTAGGTTGACAGAAGCATTCTTCTATTGACCTTGCTGTGTCTACACTAGGGGTTACGTAGGTCGACCTAAGTTTTGAGTGTAGATCAGGCCTGAGTCTCATGTTATCACAGGACTCCAGGGGCTGGGGATTTAAGAAGAGCTACAACTATCCGGAGACTTGGCAATGCCATAACACAGGTCACAGAATCTCAGCCAGTGCCTGCCCCAGAGCCCTGTCTGCTGGGGGGAATTCAAGTGGATTAACCAACGGTGTACATTTAAACCAGATTAAGCCCCGCTGTAGACACTCTCATTCAGAATAAAAGCAGCCTTAATTTGGGTTAGTTTAATTCACTTCCAAAGCGCAGAATTATCCTGGACTAAAATCACATTTATTCTGGACTAGGAGGTCTATTCCGGTCCATTTCCCTGTGCAGACAAGTCCTGGACATGCAAAGAGGCTGTTACGTTGGGGAAGGAGCCCAGGGGAATGGCACAGCAATGTGGTGTGGAGGACAGAGGGGCCCCTGGGACTGGAGCAGAGGACAAAGGAGGGGAGTGCATGGAGCAGGGATGTCACAGAGCTTTCCGAGAAGACAAACTGGCCCTTTGGTTCCTGGGACATCAAAGCTTCCGCCTCACTCCCTGCTTGCCGGGGGGGGGAGGGGGGGGGTCTCATGATGGATGTTGGTTGGGGGGGGATTATTCTGACTGGGAACGAGGAGGCACTAGAGGCCCCTTTGCTGTACTCTGTCGACTTCACTCATACCCATTTTAAGGCCCATTTAGCTGGTTTAAGAGGCCTTGGTGTAACCAAGAATCAGGCCCTTATTTTTGTAGGGTGCCCAGGGTTAGAGACCTGTTTTATCCAAGGTGCTGAGCACCCGCAGCTCGATGTACATCACAAAATCAGGCCCTGGGTGTCTCGGGCTCAGCACTCAATGTAAGAGGATGTTTCTGAAAAGCTGGGCCTTAACCGCTCTCTGCCTCAGTTTTCCCCATCTGTAAAATGGGGATGGTGCTATTTCCCTACCTCGCAGGGCTTAAAGGGTGAATGTAATCATGTCTGGAAAGTGCTTTGAAGATGGAAAAGTGCTCGGGTTTTTGTCCTGGACGTTAGTCTTAGTTCTTGGGCGTGGCTTCATTGTACATGAGCACAGAGGCGCTAGGGGGCGCTGTGCAGCAGGGAGCGGGTGGGTGACTCAATAGGGGGCACTCTTCCCTATGTCTCAGTGCTGACCCCAACTCCCCGATTGATGCTAGGGGGCGCTGTGCTACTACAGGTTCTATGGTGCAGATGAGATGTAAAACAAGACCCTTACTGCTTCTGGCTACTCAGTATCCAATAGCCCTTTTCACAAGCCCTGTTGTCAAATTCCAGTCATGGTGGCTGTACCGGCTTCCCTAAAATTCCCCCTGGAGTTTTGTTGAGGTGGAATATTTTCCTTCACTTCCACTGAATTGCTGTGAAGCATAGCGTTGCTGTGAGCTGCCAAAGTGTTGACATGGCCCACCCCAGAAGTGGCTGCATTTCCGTGCGGGTTGAGTGAGCCCTTTGCAGCATTGCTGCATGCTGTTAAATAGCTGCCCTGTTCCACCCCAGACATGGCCCCAGCGCACTGGCGAGTGAAGCAATCCAAGTATATCCATTACCCTGAGATCATGCAGGATAAAAGATGAACTGTTACATGCCAGAATTGTTATTTTTATGACCTAACATCATGAAGCAATTTTTACAAGAAGCGTAACCTTACCACGCCCTTAATGAAATCACAGCAATCTCTGTTTGCATCAAGTAATCAATGAGCCCCAAAATAAAATAAAGTAAAAATTGGCAGCCTCTAGAACTTGGAACAACTTCAGGTTTCAAAAGAGCCTTTTCAGAAACAATAAAACATTCCCAGAGGGAGAGATCATTACTTCCCTTCTGAGAGTCACTTAACCTCTCTGGGCTGGGTTCACGCCGATGTAGAATCCCAGCTGTTAGAAGGGTTGGGAGGTTTTAGGGTCAGATGGCTTGGCTTGACCCACATGTAACAGCCACACGCCCTAGCTCTTATCATCCAGTAGATTCAAAGCATTTCACAAAGGAGGTCAGTTTCATTATCCCCCTTTTATACCTGGGGAAACTGAGGCATGGAGCGGAGCAGGGACGCACTCAGTGACGGAGCCAGGAACAGAGCCCAGGTCTGCTGTTTCTCAGGGCAGTGCGCTACCCACTAGGCCATGCTGCATCGCCTGTGTGAATTAGCAGTGACTCCATTGACGTGGATGGTGTTTACATGGATGAAGTGTAGGCATGGCCTTAGGTCAGGGGTGGGCAAACTTTTTGGCCCGAGGGCCACATCGGGGTGCGAAACTGTATGGAGGGCCGGGTAGGGAAGGCTGTGCCTCCCCAAACAGCCTGGCCCCCAACCCCTGACTGCCCCCCTCAGAACCACCGACCCATCCAACCCCCCCGATCCTTGTCCCCTTACTGCCCCCTCCTGGGACCCCATCCCTAAACCGGCCCCCCCAGGACCCCACCCCCTATCCAACCCTCCTGCTCCCTGTCCCGACTGCCCTGACCTCTATCCACACCCCCACCCCCTGACAGGCCCCCCGGGACCCCACACCTATCCAACTCCCCCTGTTCCCCATCCCCTGACTGCCCCAACCCCTATCCACACCCCTGCCCCCTGACAGGCCACCCGGGACTCCCACATCTATCCAACCGCCCCCTGCTCCCTGTCCCTTGACTGCCTCCCCGGGATCCCCTGTCCCTTATCCAACCCCCCTGCTCCCCACCCCCCGCCCCCTTACCATGCAGCTCAGAGCAGCAGGAGCTCACAGCCCCACCGCCCGGCCGGAGCCAGCCGCGCTGCCCGCACGGTGTGTGGCTGCAGGGGAGCGGGGACAGCAGGGGAGGGGCCGGGGGCTAGTCTCCCCGGCCAGGAGCTCAAGGGCCGGGCAGGACGGTCCCGCGGGCCAGATGTGGCCCACCTCTGCCTTAGCTTCTGTTTTAGGAATGGCTAATAGAAGTTTGAATCACGGGCTAGTGGATTGTTAGGCAAATAAAGAGAACCCCAGCGCCGATCTGTTACTAACCCCTCGATCTGCAGCACAGTCCCGGGCTACCGCACACGTTCCCCGGCGTCCTGCAAGCTGCAGGGAGGAGCTGCCTGGGTTCCCACCGCCAGCTCTGCCCGACGGGCTAACAAAGCCCTCATTCTCCCACGGTGCAGGGTGTCCCCAGAGGAAGGTGACATCTCTCTGTCTAGGACTAGATCCCCCTTGTTGTCTTTGTCAGACCGGGAGTCTTCTCACGTTTCCCCCTCTCCGGCTCTTGTGCAGATTAAGTAACGTAGCGGCAAGAATTCTGTCTCCCACCACATTCCCCCCATGCCACCTTTCCTCAGATTTCTACTGTCACACAACTGCTGTTGTGTATGTTGCCATTGCCCCCTATTGGAGAGAACTGGGACTGATCAACATTGTCTCATAAACCCTCTACTGCTACTGGGGATTCTCCTTGAGTGCAGGTGGCTCAGGAGCATTTGAGTTCTGTCCCCACTTGCTCTTTGTATTACAGTTGCTCCTAGAAGCCCCAAGTGAGACCATCATGCCAGGGGCTGCACAGACAAAGACGGCTCCTGCCCCAAGGAGTTCAGTCTTAACAGACAAGGAAGAATTATGAGCCTTATTTTTACAGATGGGGGAAACTGAGGCAGGGAGCAAGTTGCTCAGCGTTAGTTGGTGGCAGCAGTGGGAACTGAACACTCATGTCCTGAGTCCCAGTCCAGTGCTTTGACCCCCCTAGCCCAACTTATCTCTGCTATGCCTGGCAGCCTGAAAGATGTGAAGCTGGGAGCCCCCCTTTGGTGGGCGGGCCTGTCCCTCTCCTGCTGAGGCCCTGCACTAGGTGGCCTCACGCCGTCTTGTTTGCAGGCGTCAACGTGATGCTGAGGAAGATCGCGGTGGCCGCGGCTTCCAAGCCGGCCGTGGAGATCAAGCAAGATGGCGAGACCTTCTATATCAAGACCTCCACCACGGTGCGCACCACCGAGATCAACTTCAAGATCGGGGAAGAGTTCGAGGAGCAGACCGTGGACGGGCGCCCCTGCAAGGTAGGGGGAGCTGCTCCGGGCAGCAGGGGCTGCATGGCCCCTGCTTTTTGGAGCTAGGTCCCCTTTATTTTATCTGGGGGTGGGTGGGTGGGAGAAAGCAGAGAGACCCCTGGACAGCTCAGGCCTTGGCTGAGGGGCTGATCCTACCCCCATGGAAGTCCCTGGCAAGACCCCCATGAGTCCAGTGGTGGCAGGAGGGCGCCCAACTGGCCACTGCTTTGCTCCTGCTAATGGGGAGGGGATAAGGGCCATGTCCTCTACAACCCATAAGGGCCATGTCCTCTACAACCGCTCAGCCTTCGCCTCTGCTAACGAGGAGGGGTAAAATAGTCCCTCGGAGAGCCGTGGCGTAGGGTTAGGAGTGACACGTCACAAGATGGTGTCCCGGCGGAGGATAAAAGCGCCGCCCGGGAGCGTGATGGGTCACGAGCTGGCGCTGTAGAAGCCCCAGCGTAAGGATGGCAGAGGCCTCCTCGTGCCACGTCCCGTGATCCTCCTGGCTTCTGTCTCCAGGCGGCGGAGCCGCTGAGAAATATCTGAGCAAACTTCCCTCCTTAATCAATATGGGGGAGACCCTTCTGAGCCTGGCCGATTCCTGTTGATATTCACCTCCTCCCGCTTGTCGTACGCAAAGATCCTTCGGTGCGCTCCCTGCCAGGACAAATACGACAGGGGTTTCCCCATTGTGTCCCAGCTTGGCTTCTTTCTCGGGGAGTCTGAGCCTTGCCGGGTGGCTGCCCCGTCTCTGGCTGGGCGGTCCAGGCAGGTTTTCGTCAGATAACCCCCCACGCAGTCGTGGGGGAGCTCTACCTGCTCTTGGTGTATGCCCCTGATCAAAGTGTCTTAAAGGGGCAGCTTACTCAGTGTGACACATACACAACCCTGAACTCCAACTCATGCTGTGTGACACCCCTCGGGTCCCGGTCTCCAACTCGGTGCGACACACACACACAAACACAACAAGGGTCCGACACATACACCCATATCTGGACTCTGACTCACAATATGTGACACACACACATAGACACAGTCTGGATTGCAGTCACTTGGTGTGACCCCCCCCCCCACACACACACGGACTAAGCATCACACAGACAGACAGACACACACATCTGGACTCCGACTCACTAGGTGTGACACACACACACTGGATTGCAGTCGCTCGCTGTGACACACACACGCACTCCTGCCTCTGCAGCTAGCAGCCCGTTCCCTCCCCCTGAAGGGGTGAGGGCTCCTTTCTTCCTCGCCATCCCATCCCGCCCCCCAGCGCCCCTCTGGGTGACGGATGAGCCCACGCAACTGTCAGGCTGCACTAGAGTGTGGAACAAATTGCCAGCTCCTCTCTTGTCGAGGGCTGGGCCTGCCTAGTGCATGATGGATGAGCCTGGTCTGCCGCTGGGCTAGTAGGGGCATGGCGGGGGCTTTGTGATTTAAAATGCGGTTGCATTGATCTTCTCCTTTCTTTCTTCCTTCCAGAGCCTGGCCAAATGGGAAAGTGAGAACAAAATGGTCTGCGAACAAAGGTTGCTGAAGGGGGAAGGGCCCAAGACCGGCTGGTCCCGGGAAATGACCAACGATGGAGAACTCATTCTGGTAGGCTGGCCTCTGCACGCAAAGGGTTAAACGCGCCCCCCACCCGTTGCTGTGAACCCCCTTTGCTTTCTGGCACAGGGTGGTTAAGCGCCGGCTGCGAATGCAGCTTGTGACGCTCTCCTCTGAGCGGTGGCCATCTGGGTCACCTGTGTTTGTGGGTCGGCGGCCTGACTGGTGCATTCTGGGACAGCCTGGGCAGCGCTCCCATAGTGCCTCAGGAGAGCGTGCCCGGGGCACCTGCATGGCCTGAAGCAATGCATTCTGGGAAGAAGGAGGCCCATTGTACTGGGAGAGGATCATGCCTACACTGCAAACAACCAGTGTGTTGAACTGGCCTGGGCTTTCCAACAACTCCCTGCCCAGAGATTCCATCCCAGGGGGTCACGTTGAGCCCAGTGCATGCTGGGACAGGACTTTGGAAGAGGGGCAGGGCCTGACTCCTTGTGCAGTGGTTTACACCCGCAGCCCCCAGCCGGCACTGGGGTGCAGGGTGTGTGTGCTGGGGGAAGGGGGCTTACGTTGCAGTGTAGACGTACCCTCAGTGACCGAGCCCTGAGCAGTCGTCTCTGGGGTCTGCTCCCTTTGTTCATTTCCCCTCTTGCTGTTCCAGACCATGACAGCCGACGACGTGGTCTGCACGCGGATCTACGTCAGGGAGTGATACGCCCCGCTGGGCAGCGGAGGGCACTCCTGGCACCGCCCCCTTCCCGCTTGCCAATTGCAGCCTCTCCGCCGACCTTCAGTAACCACTCCGCCGGACTCCAGAGTATCCCGTTTACATGATGCAGGCCAGCGGCACCGCTCCACTTCATATTCCACTATCAGCCGGTCTCCTCCCCTCTCCGCCCGCTCCTCCCACAGCCTCTCTTTGCCCATGCAGCCCACAGAGCAATGTGAACTCCTCCCAGCCCCTCGTCCAAGTGGGTGACACAGAGGGTCACCATGTATCCACCCACACCTCGGCTAGAGGTGACGCTAACGAAGCTGTCACTCCCAGCCACAGGGGGGTTGCCTGATTTGCGCCAGGATGGGGAAGGGGCCTTTTCTCAGCCAGTTCACGGTGGGCCCTGGAGAATGCTCACCTTGGAGATGACCCTGAGCCAAAGCCCGCTTTCCATCAGCTTCGGTGGGCTTTGGATCAGGCCCATGTCCTGAGCAAACCTGGCTGTGCCTTGAAGTCGCGGGAATCGGGATGTGAATTAGCAGCCCAGGACTTAATGGGCTGAGGGTTCTGCTTGGCCACTTCCGGCCGATTTTTGTGCCCCTGGAGTATGAGCCGGGTTAAGACAATGAGGGCCACTCCGCACTGATTTAGCCACCAGCTGCCGAAATGCTTGGCAGTTCTGAGACACATCTGCATTTCCAGGTGCTGTATCCCCAAGGCCTGATTCTGGGTTATTCCATTCCTGCACGTGGAGCCAGGATGTGGGGGAATGGGTTAAGGTGGCTTTGCCCTCCGCGTATTCTGGTGCTGTACCCAGCCCACAGTGTAAGTTAGAGCAGCCTCAGGGCTGCTCTTCATTGTCCTCTGCCCCCATGGCCTCCCGAATGTAGGGAGTACCTGTAGTGCACTGCACGCTGGCAACGCCCCCAATTTCCTCTTTTCTGGGAGCAGGGCTGGTGGAGAGCCCTTACCCCAGCTCCACACCGGCTAGGGAGGCCCACTGACAGTTGTACTGGTTTAACTAGAGGCGTGAATTTAAACCCATTAGTGCATGCTTTTAAACCGGAATAAGAGCATCCACACGCAGGGATTAAAGTGCCCTGGTTAAAGTGAACTGGTTTTAAAACCGATTTCAGTTCAACTGGTGCAACTTTCCCGCGTAGACAAGATCTTCGTTCCCGTGGGACAAACAGCTTAGCAGCAGTGCACTGAGGAGATCAGATTCCCTTCTAGAGTGGGGCTGAAGCTACTTATGAGGCAGAACCCAAAGGCACCTGGGTTGTTCTTGAACTGTGGGCAAATGGAGCACTGATTCTCATCCCCACCCCTTTATTTGCCCTCTCTCTGGATGGAATTTACCCCTGTGCGCAAAGCCTATGTGTAACCACCCTGATGCCGCACAATGCTTTGTCCTCCCGTAATAGGAAAAGCCCACCCCAAAGGCTCAGGTATCCCAGTCCTGGGTTCAGTTCCCACACGTGACCAATTTAGGGTGATCAATACCAGGAGTTGCATGGGATGGGGTTTTTTTTTTCCATGTGAAAAACATCAACAAACACAACATTTCAGGTTTTCATTAAAAAAAATAATCATTTTTTCAATAAAACCTCAAATGTTTGAACAATTTTTTTTCACCAACATTTCCATTGCGTTGAAAAGCCCTTACCCACGGCGGATGGGGAATGGCCCGATGGGCACATTTCAGGGATCTCTTGTGGTTTATATGCATCACCAAAACACCATTCAAAACGGAGCGTCAGGGAGTGAATTGGTGCATTGCCTTTGAGCCGGCCTTGTCTTCAGAGGTACATTACACCGGGGGGCAGTGATTTTAGCTTGGCCTCTGCTTTGGGCACAAGAAGGGTTGGGTTTTTTTTTTTTTGGTTGTGGTCAAGAAATGGCCTTTTTTCATGGGCAATTTGAGTGAAAAATCGTTCATTTAAATTCCCCCCCCCCCGTGTTACAGTGGAATCCCTAACTGATGAACTAATTTGAGACAGAGGAGTCCATAACATTGAAAAGTTCATAAAATCGAGCCTCTCCAAATGACAGTACTGTATGTACAACGTGTAAATTACAGGATGGTGCAATGCCCCAGGAGCTTAAGGAGGCCTGAAAAAAGTGTATGTGGGCCGGGGGGGGTCTATCACAACCTGAGAGCAGCAGCTTTGGTAAGACAGTGCTTAAAGTGCACTCCTTCCGTGACCCAGCTCCATTACAAAAAGATTTTGGGCCGGGTTTACGCCCCCTGGCGACCCCCTCCGCTTCAAGCGCCGCCGTTGCTTTCTTCTTGTCCTGCAGACCAACTGCAAAGTGATTCCCGGTGCATTGAAGGTATCGGAATGGGAAGGGACTTGTTCTTCATTGACTTGGTTCATATAACTGGTCCCTTGGAGGGCTGGGCTTCGTAAAGTCAACATTATGCCACCTTGCATGTGACTTACTGCATAGGCTTGCGCACAGGGGTAATTCACCCCCCCTCCTAGACACCTTCCCCCTCCCCCATCGCATCCCTCTGGACAACAAGAGTTTCAAGGTGAAAAGTGGGAAGTGCTTTTTAAAAAAAACAAACAACCTGGCATTTTTATTTTATACAGAATATTTTTTCATATTCCCGTAGGAAGAAGCTGTAACCTAGTTGAGCTGCATTCCTCTTCCCGTGTAGGGCCCTGTGCTTTCTCTCTCCTCTCTCAGTAGTTGCAACTTTTTCTGAGTATTTATTTGTTAATATTTTATTAAAAAGGAAACCGTGAACAAGCCCGTCTCCTGCGGGTCTGCGCAGCATTGGAGCTTGCCTGGAACACAATGTCCTTCCGACCCAACTCTCTCTAATAAACGGTTGATGAACGTATGCCTTGTCCTGGTCGTTCCTGGAAATCGCCGGGGGTGAAAATCACCAGCTCCGTGAGAGCCTTGATTCCTCTTTACACAGTCCTGGCAGCATCACGTATGGGGATAAGTTGCTGCTAGTGGGGTGGGGTAAAAGGTGCGAAGGGGGGGAGGAATAGCTCAGTGGTTTGAGCATTGGCCTGCTAAACCTAAGGTTGTGAGTTCAATCCTTGAGGGGGTCATTTAGGGATCTGGGGCAAAAATCAGTACTTGGTCCTGCTAGTGAAGGCAGGGGGCTGGACTCAATGACCTTTCAGGGTCCCTTCCAGTTCTCTGAGATGGGTATATCTCCATATATTAAGCTGAACAAAGCCTGGAGTCTTGTGGAAGTAGATAGGTCAGGATGGGCTGGCTACTCCCAAGGGCTCAGAGGTTCTGAAGCCTGAGCGAGTTTGGATCACCCTGCTCCGGATTCAGGCCCAACTCAGGTGTGAACTGGAATGGTTGCTCCTGTGATGATGCAGAGTTTAATGCTACTGCAGGGCCAGATTGAAGTTTGGCCCAGCGCAGCGGCTCCTGCTCGAAGTAATGGGGTGGCATTAAAGGAAGGGAAAGCGTGGGCTGGAGGAGGCGGAGGAGAGCAAGACGCAATGACAGCACCGAAAGCTTGGGCACTTTAGATCTAGATGGGACGATGCACCTGCGAACATGTTGCAGCGGGCAGTCCTGTGCTCAGTTGTGTGGGACAAGCAATGTGGGGGGAGGGTCCTCTTTTCCCCCCCCCATCTCCATTTGCCATCCTCTTCTGAGAGGAAGGGGGGCCTTGTGACCCAGGGCTACGCGCTGCCCATGTGAGTCACTTAATCAGTTCCGCATCTGAGAGATGGGGATAATATAATCCTTTCTTTGTGGTTTTCCTGCTGGAGCCTATGAGCTATTTGGGGACTGGACTTTGTACAGCCCCTAGCACACCGGGGTCCTGCTCTCAGGAGGGGCACTGGTGGAACCCCAGTAATAACAATCCCTTTGCCCAGTGCCCTGTTCTAGAGCCATTCCCCAGCCTGATTTGAAATGTCCTGAGGGGGCGGTGGGGTAGGAGGCTCGTTCAATCTCTTTCTTTCCCCTTCCCCCTGCCCCATTTACTCCCCGATTCCTGGAACGGGCACGGCCAGGACCCCTGGCTGTAAAATCGCTTCCTTTGATTCTAATTACAACATGAGCTCTTCCAGCCCGGCCGGCGCAAAGTGTAACAACAATCAAAGACCACGCAGGGGCCCAGAGGGTGCCAAAAAGCCCCAGCTAATACCAGCCCTGCCAACCCCCCCCAGGAAAAAGACACAAATGCTGCATTGTTAGCCCGAGACCAACTAGATTCCTGCTCACTTCCCAGCCAAGCTGCGCGTCCGAGGAGGATCTGATTCGATCCTCCCTGGTTGTTCGTCTTCTTTTATTAGCTTGCTGGACTCAGCTTGGCCTCTCGAATCAGACTACGGCATCCGGCTGGAGAATCGCCTCACCCCGCCACGGTCCGCGTCCGAAGGAGGCTGCGGCGCCAGCCCTGACCCCCAAGCAGATCGGGCTCCCTGGAATGCTGCCGGTCTTTCTTTGCCCCATTCGCTGGCAGTGGGCCAGATCCTCAGCTGCTGTAAATCGGTATTGACATGGATGGAGCAAGGCCGATTTACACCCGGGGAGAATCCAGGCCTTTCTTCTGCCCTTCTGCATGTTGGATCAGTGTACTCTGAAGGCAGAATTTGGCAGGTGTGAGTACGCCTTTAAGAGCAGGGCATGATGGGAGCCCCTGCAGGGGTATAAAACAGAGCACTGAGGCCTCGCGCTCACTCTGGTGGTGCCTGTGATGAAGGGGAATGTAACGCCCGTATCTTGGATATTGAACCAGGTCCTTCAAAGTTGCCCCACAAGCCTCAGTATCTTGAGCCAAAGAGCTAAGTGATGGCAAATCCTATGGATTGGGGAGGGGAGGGGGATTCTAAATTTGGGGGTACTCTCTGCTTTTTGGACAGAGATCCTCTGTCTGGCTGTGAATTCTGTAAAGTTTGTGCCATGTGTCTAGAGTGCCAGGCGTATCTTAGTGAATCAGCTGGGTGCGGAGAATTTGGGGACAGCCCCCAGAGCTGCCCTGAGCAGCGGTTTGAGTTTAAGGGGGATTTTTCCAAGCCCATGTCAAACAGGAGCTGAGACTTCTTGGAAACCTGAGCGCCTCCAAATGGGGCCATCAGCGTAGGGACTGGGGCAGGATTCTCCTGTCCTCTCCCCAGTGCTGCTGGGGTGCTCAGCGCTGGGCTTTCGCTTTGTCCTGTTCAGAGGCCAGCTGTAGCGGCCACAGCTGGGTCTGGGTTTGGATTCCAAAGCGCCGATGCCCTGCTGCGGTTGCCAACCCTCCAGGATTGCCCAGGAGGCTCCAAGAATTAAAGATTAATCTTTAATGAAAGATGATGTCATGTGATGAAACCTCCAGGAATACCTCCAACCAAACTTGGCAACTCCCTCCCTCCCTTCTTCCCCGAGGCCTTCCAGGTCTTCAGGCTTATGGGTTTCAGGCCCAATCAGATGAAACAATAACGCGACCTCCTCTCTCCAGATCAGCGTGGGGAGTGTGTGTGGGGGGGCGTACCCCCCCTTCAAAACTCCCAAGGCATCATCTTCCTGACCCTCCAGTCTCTCTCCCGCGACGGCTTTGTCAGGGGGTTGCCCTTTGCTCTCGCAGGGGCCTGTTCCACATTTACGCTCTCCCATTCGGGAGCGGCCCCTGAAATAATTAAACCATTTGTCACGGTGGGAATCGCTTTCCTTTTTGAAAGGCCGGTTGCCTGCCTGTGCCTCCTCCCCACCTCCACCCACCCTGCCAGGGTCGCTGCACCTCCGGTGTGGGCTTTCGTTACCCCAGTGCCGTAGGGGATTGCATTCCACTTTTCCTTGCTGGGGGAGGGGGGTGGGGAGGAGATTGAATTCCCGGCACACTGAGGCACTGAAAGGTTGCAGAGTCCAAGCTCTGGAGGGCTGACTCTGAATAACATCTGCAGAGCCGAGCGGGGAAGCAGAGGTCTCTGCCAGACACAGGAGATCAAGCCCGGTGCGTGCGAGGTCATGCCGCAAGGAGGACGCCATTTTGAAGAGCGCCTCACCCCCCTCCAGCAACCGGGCACGCATCGTGCGAGGCCAAGTCGTGTTGCCGGTGGGGACGGAGCAGCACGCTCTTCAAAATGGCACCCTCCAGGCATGATGCTGGACACGGGCCGAACCATAGAAAAACAGGCTCGCAACCGCATGAGCGGCCGGCCTGCTCAAGAATTCCTGTTGTACTGTCGTCCCCTCTGCCAAGCAGCAGCCGGTCTATGGGGCGGGCGGCCTTGCATCTTCGTTTCTTGTTGGAGAAGTTAATGAGGCAGAATCTGGGGATCTGCTTAGTGAAACTTGCTTGTTCAGACTTTATAGCCTAGCCCTGGAAGAGAGGTGGTTGCAAACGGCACTCGGGCAATCCCTTCTTTGAGAAACCTCACCCCAGGGAGCAACTCTGCACCCCAAAACTGACTCTAATTAGAGCGATTAAGGCAGAGCGCAAACTCCCTTGCTACGTGGAAGAACTGCCCCTAGAAGAAACAGCATCACAGAATTCACCCCAATGCAGCGTTTCTTCCAAGACTAAAAACTTGCTCGCACACCTGCCAAGAAAATGAACTTATAAGACTACGTGAAACAGCGCCATCTGGTGACCCCCCCCATAACAAATACTTATCACAGCTCTGCCCTGGGGGTTCTCTGTCTCCAGGGCTAATAGAACCAAAATGGTGGCTCCAGTCACCCTCTTCCTCCACATGCTGCGGAAGCTTTCTTGATAGAAATATTGCGATTTCAGGCCCATTTCAAGTAAAGGCTTTGTAGGTGTATGTTGGGGGATATGGGAAGGCAAGGGCTCTGTGTGTTCTGTGGCTTGGTGATTCTGCCTTAATAAAATGTCCTTAGCTCAGAGCAGGGCGGGAATGGCCATGCATAATTGCATCAGTCTTCATGTTGTCTTTGCACAGAGGCATGTTTAGTTAGATCAAAGCCAGATTATGCCGGAGAAACTGGATGAGAACAAAGAACCAGCCCTTTAAAGATTACATCAGGGAGGTTCTCCCGGCTCCCAGGGTGTGTGCCAGATGCACTTTCCCTGAAAATAAAGCCTACAGATGACTTCCTGACTGCCATTGTCCTGACATGACGAGGGAATAGGTGCAAGGACTGTGAGCCAGAACACCTGGGTTCTTTCCCCAGGTCTGGGAGGGTAGAGTTGTCTAGTAGTTAGAGCAGTGGGGACTGGGAGTCAGGATATCTGGTTTTTGTTTTGTTCCCGCCCCCCCCCCCCCACCAGATCTGGGTCAGGAGCATGATCTAAATATTTGTTAGACCGGGCAGGTTGAGGAATCAGGAGGATGGACGTGGTCTATTCCCAGGTCTGGAAGGGGAGTATGGTCTACTGGTTGGCGAGTAGGTACTATTTCCATTTGAAGGCTGGACAGCTGGAAGCAAACAAGACTCCCCTCCTGTTTCTTCTGGGGGCTTCTGGGCAAGGGTGCTGGAACCTTTGTAGAAGTGGGGGGGGGCCAAGGCCAAAGCATCTTCTCCCTCTCCTCAGTTGGCTGCTCTGACGATGAGACAGCTGCCCTCTCTTCTGGCACCACACCAGCCCCTGGCGGGCGGAAGGTGTAATTGCAACGCCTCCCCGACAGAATCTATTATTCTGTGGGGGAACAAAAATCTCTGGGGACATGAATTCTGCGCTTATGTTTCTTTTGTTAAATAGGGGAGGGGGGCATCGCCCCCTGGTTCCGGCGCTGGTGCTTCTGGGTAACGGAGAATGCACTGAGCAGGGGCCCCAAAGGCTTATGAGTAACAGACAATGTGGCACTGGGTCTGGGCAGGAGCAGGTGGGTTTCTGTTGCAAGGACCATCTTTAAAATGTGTCTGTGCTGCCGTGGGCCACTGAGCCCCGGGGAGGAGCTGACCGAGAGGATGTTT